AAAATGTATAACAAGTCTAACACAAGCCCTTTGTTCAGGGAAGGGCTAAAGGAAGAAGTGAACTTCAGGATAGATCTTAAAGGTGTAGTTCTCTAGAACTTGATAAAGGAAATAGAGCAATATGGTGTTAGGGCTATAAAGACAACGTAATGCAGGGTAAGGGGGTTAGACGGTGGTGAGACGAGGGATAGTAGAATCCTGAGAGTCTGATTTCGAAATAATTGAGGGAGTCCTCTCTGATTATTTGATATTTCAGTATGAATAAAAAGAGGAAGAGATCCAAGATGATATTTGGGGAAATCACATTCTAGATAGAAGGAATAAAATAAATGCAATGGTTGTGAAAATGTAATTTTCTTGGGAAAGGTCAATTTTGTTTGCAAGGCCTGAGTGGGGTTGACAGTTATGGGAAACAAATCTAAGAGGGAACCAAGGATAAGGAAAACATAGAAAGGGATATTTTGTGACATCTCTTTAGGCGCTGGGGAAGACACTGATTCTGAATGGGTTGGAAGGCTCTAGAGGATTTTGAGCAGAGCGGTGACATGTTCTGATTTACATGTTTAAAATATCATTACATTAGTAACATGGCTATAGTGGAAGTGAGATCCTGCCAAGAAGAAGCTTATAATGTAGGCAAGAGACTAGATTGATAATAATGTGAATGAGCATGTTTGGGGATTAAATTAGATCAAGACTTTTGTTTAGAGCACAGTAAGTATGAATTTTTTGTTAGATATTTAAGATATCAAGTTAGCAGTTGAAATTAGAGACTAGGGCCCAAGGGAAAGATCATACGTAAAACCATGGGACTAGATAAAATTAGTGGGGAATGTGTGCAGCTATATAGGGGAAGTATGGAGAAGATGCAAATCCAAGAAGATATGGAAATGCTGCAGATAGTGAGCAAGTAGGAGTGGAGAGAAAGAGAGAGTGAGACAGAGAAAGAGAGAGAGAGAGAGTCCCGATAGCCAAAAATGAAAGTATGAAAGGAAAAAAAATAATTAAAAGGTGGATTTTGACTTTTATCAGAGAAAGTGAGGCTAATGCTAGACTATGAAGTCTAAATAGGGTAATAATGCAAAAAATATTATGAGAGAGATGATGGAGGAAAGAGAAATGTCAATAAAGCTTAGGTCTCAGTCAGTTTGGAAAAAAAATTGTTGGAGATGTAGTAAAGAAAATGTAACAATATCCTAGTTTTGGAGAGTAAAATATTAGTCACTCAGACTGTGGAGTGAGTGTAGTTATTGACAATGATGATTTGTAGTTTACTAGACTAATTTGACGGCTCTCATAGTCACTGAACCAGCAGTATCAGCATCGCCAGGGAACTTAAGAAATGCACATTCTCAGGCTCTCCTCCAGACTTACTGATTCCTAAACTTTAGGGGTGGATCCAGCAACCTATACTTTTAACAAGGTATCTATGATTCTGGCTACACTTTGAAAACTGTTCTAATGTATGACCAGGGGAGCACATGGTATGAGCGAGATGTCAGATAAGCAATTTTGTTTGTTAAGTGAGATGGCTTTACTCTGTGTCTCTATGCAAATCTCATTTAGAGTTATAATCCCCACATGTTGAGGGAGGGATCTTGTAGCAGGTGATTGATTATGGGGGTGGGTTTTTCCCTTGCTGTTCTCGTGATAGTGAGTTCCCACGAGATTTGGTGGTTTAAAAGAGCATGCCTGCCTTCACTCTCTCTCCTGTTCCACCACTGTGAAGGTGCGTGTGTTTTCCCTTCACTTTCACCACAATTTTAAGTTTCCTGCGGCCTCCCTGTCAAGCTTCCTGTTAAACCTGCAGAACTGTGAGTTAATTAAACCACTTTACTCTATAAAGTATCTAGTTTTAGGTACATCTTTATAGCAGTGGGAGAATACACTAATACAGTAAGATAAAAGGTAAAGGAACTGAGAAGATGCTAAAATCTTTAAGAACTATTTTAGAAGTAGCAATATAAAGAGTATTAGTGAGTTGGGCTATACCCTCAGGAAGTAGAGGGAGTGTCTTGGAGCTTATAGATGTCTAAAATAAGGAGGCATTTTAAAAGGATTCAGAGATTTTCAGGGAGAAGTCTGCAGCTATAGTTTGCAAACAACAATGACAAAAGTTATCTGTAAGAAAAACGGGTGTGCTTTGGTGAAGAATAGGCCAAGGCACATATCCAGGTGAGTTTGGAGCGCAGGTGCGCAACTCCACTTGTTATATAACCTGTTTGTGTAAGTTCATACTTGGCTGTGAGCCACCATTGCCTGTAAAAGGTGTAATTGCCCTGCTAATGTTGTGCACGAGGCTCTTGCCCCTAGAGAATGAAGCTGCTGACCCTGTAAGGGAGAGCTGGTTGCCTTGAAGACAGTCAGGGTGACCCAGGAGCCAGCAAGAGTGTCAGGGAGTGCAGCTGTAAATGTGAGAGTGGCAGGAGACGCAAAGCCTGAGAAGGGCTGCAGCTGGAGCAGGTAGCCAAAGCAAAGGCTGACAGCACAATGAAAGCCATATTCCCTTCCCTTCCCTCCCCACCCCCACCCCGTGTTCTTTCAGCTATCCGCCACCTGCCCACCCACTCCCCCCGGACCTCAGCGTGGGCTGGAACCTGACACTTGGTGTGACATTACCCTACACCAGTGATACTTGGGATGTGGGAGAGAAAATAATAAGGTGCAAAGAAAGTGGGGTTTTCTATGAGAATGAGGTTTCAGAGAAAGAAGGTGAGGGAATAGTCAAGAGTTGATGAGGACTCGGGTAACTTTGCTGATAACAGACTGGGAATGTCCTAGGGCAAAGAGGGAGAGTCTGTGGGGACAAGAGGAGTGGGGAAATGTGTCTGACAAGGGGTTGTATGGAACTGTATCACAGGGATCACAGTTCAGAGGGTCTTAGAGTCATAGTGCTCTTGTATTCCTGAAGGCAACCAGGGGCCAAGGAACCAGTCTTCTTAGAATTGCAGGAAGGGATAATCAGAGCAAATTAGGACCTCCTTGTAAGTCAGTAGTTCTCACTCTTGGCTGTTTAGAATCAGCTGAAGGAAATTCTCAAACTCCCCAATGCCCGGGTAATGCCCATACCAATTAAATCAGAATTTCTTGGGGGGGGGGGACCCAAATATCAGCTTTTTGAAAAGCTCCCCGGTTGATTCCAATGTACAGGCAGAGCTGAGAATCGGTCTTTTAATTTGTGAAACTAAAAAAAGCAGCAAGAAATTTTGACTCTCGGGCCTGGGATCTGCATCATAAGATAAACCACCTCTAGCACTATCTGTGTGCAAGATAGAAGTCAGGTTGCTCTCCTCCTGGGTCAAATCATCTAATGAGCTAAGGCCTATTAGAAAAGCAAACCAAATCACTCAAAACAGTTCAGTGGATGTGTTTGTGTGTGTCAGCCTGTAAAAAGTGAAAAAAGAAAGTTTCCTTCCCAAGAGCTGAACAATCACAGCTTGATGCTCTGTTCTGCGGGACAGCAGGTCACTGCTGATCTGGCAATTGATTCCATATACATTGCTCTGAGTGCACCTTAGGAACTTTTGCTCTTTCAAAAGAACGTCAGGTGAAAGGTTCACAGCACAACTTTTCACGGTTAATTAGCAGTTAGCATCACTTCAAGAAATCAAATAGGAAGCAGCAGATGAACTCACAGCTCACCTTGGGTCAGTAATTTGTATGTCCCAGCCATTAGGCTTAGCTGTTAACATTATCTCGAGGTTACGTGATCTTAGATTTTTGGTTATTTTCTATTTGGTTGCTAAGTAATTTAACTCGCATATCTAATTTCTGTAAACAAGAAAAATTAAATGAAATGTTAATATCAGAGCTGTTTAATTTCTAACTAGTTGCCATCATCTCCCGGCATTGGTGCAATGCTATAAAACTTTCCTGATTGCTTTAAGTGCCCAGACAACACTGATATGCTCTGGTGAGTGAAGAATTCCTGTTTTTAAATTGCAAATAACACGTTATATTTTATTGGCATCCCAATAAAATAAGTTACAGAGGAGTAAGAGATGTGTTTGGATTTTTAAAAATTCTTTTATTTTAGGACTTATTACTCAAATGGTCCTGTTTTTGAACAAACCTGGTTGTATTTTAGAAAGCCAGTAGTTTCTTTTCGTTGTGAGAGGAGTTGTGCTACATTTTAAAAATAAGTCATTACTCCACAAACATTTATAGCACTCTGAAAAGGTTTTAAATCTTATTTTAGTAGTGCTGTAGCTTTTGAAATTGAGATGATGTGGGACCTGCTATAAACTCTCTCATTTTGTTAAATTTGTGTGTAGGTGACGATATCAACCTAGGAGAGAGAAGTAATTATCACCTTGCTCCACATGGTTATGTGTGTTCTTTTTGAGAAGAAGGCATTAATTACTCCCAGTTGGAGTAACAGTGAAATGCTGGGTGACATTTGTGAAATTACTGTCTTAGTGAAAATTTTCCTCCGTATCAAGTAGACAAAATACCTACCGAGATAAGAACTGCGGTAAAGATAATGCTTGTCAGACATGTTTGTGGTGGTTCTCCGTGATAGTTTCAGGGCTAGTTTCTAAAATTCACCTTGGATCGAACTTTTCCAAGTCCACCTACTCTTCAGGCTTTTGCACTCTTAAGCCATGATGACTAATCCAAATAGGTTCTCGGCAAAATACTGCAGTGGGCAATTTAAATTTCTGTCTCGTTCTTCTGTCTGTGCCTGTCTTCTCCATACATCGAGAATGTTCCTAACAATATAACCTTTATCTGCTCTAACATACAGGGGACCAGATGGAATTTCACCTTCCTACATAGGAAGTCCATGTGCCCAAATCGGCCCATCTCAAGTCTTAAAAAAAACAAAAACAAGGAAAAAAAAAACAACCAAAAACCTTGCCTGGATTCTACCTCAACCCAATTAAATCAATAACTTTGAGAATACAGTTGGAGACTATTTAGGTTTAAAAGCTGCGCATGTGATCCTAATGTACTACCTCGGCTAAGGTTTAAAAGCTCCTCAGGTGATCCTCATGTACAGCCTGGGCTAAGTACCACTGTCTTAAGCCAAAACAATGGATCCTTAAGAGTATAATTCTAGAGAGTTAGCAGATGGGTAAAGAAGATATTTATAGACTAAGAATCCTTACAGGTTGTAATTTATGAGCCTAGAATAAAAGAGATGGCATTGTCTAATCAGTTTGAAGGGTGACAGCAACAAAATGTACAACCCTGTGAAATTCCTCAGTGGCCTTGAACCTTATTTTCTGTGATCTCAGGCATCTGAGTTACTTTTTTTACTTTAAAGGTGGTACCCCACACCTTTAAAGTGTTCTCTGTCTTATATTTGATATCATAATGTCTGCAAACCAGAGACTAACTTAAATTGGTGGGACAAGGGAGTTAAGGAGCTGAGGGGTGGTCGGGGAGGGTTAGTAAATGAGAACTCCAAACTTACTTGACTTCATTTCACAATGAATGGAGATAGCACATAAAGGACTAAAAACAGTTTCTGCCAAAATCATAAAAGCATCTAATTTTTTCAAATCCAACCATTTCCAGAGCAGGTGAGAAATATTTGCAATACCTTCATTCCCAAGAAATATCCACAAGATGGTCTTATTGAGACAATTAACTGAAAAACAATGTTCCAAAGAAAATGTCTTAGAACCATCAAATAGTCATCAAATGGATAAAAGACTTTTTTTTTTCCCTTAGGTAAGACCATTAGCAGATGAGAACTTTTGTACAAGGATGATGATATGCTCAGCCGCTTTTCTGTTTTTCCTTCCTATAGTCTGAATGTTTGTGTCCCCTCAAAATTCCCATTTTGAAACCTGAACCCCCGAGGTGACCCTACCAAGAGGTAGGACTATCAAGGTGTTAGGCCGTGAGGGCAAAGCTCTGATGAATGGAACTGGTATCTTAAAAAAGATGTCTCAGAAGGACTCTGTGAAGACACAGTGAGAAGGTGCTGTTCTATGAACCAGAAGTAGGCCCTTAAAAAAATACTGAATCTGCCTGTGATTTAATCTTGGACTTCCAGCCTCCAGCAACCTGAAGAAATAAATTTCCCTTGTTTATAAGCTGTCTAGCTTATAGTATTTTGTTACAGTAGACTGAATAGATTAAGAACTTCCCTCTTCCTGCTTCACTTCTATCATTCACTGTCTTTGTCAAGTGAAACAGGTGGAGACAAAAGAGGAAATGAGAGAAAAATACCTTCCTTAGGAGAGATCTGGGACCATATAAGCTGACTTCATGCTTTCTGGGCCGGGTAGGTGTTCCAGGCTGAATTTATTTTCTCCTGGTTGTTTGAGTGTGTTTGGGTGTGGCTTTGTTTGAAGATTTCTATTACTGAGCACTTACCCAGCTCTATCTCAATGTCTCATGGTATATGCAGTAAAAGCCATTCCCCAAATACTGCTCCTCTTTTAGCTTCTGTTTTATCTACAGTAGTCAACCCCATGAAGGAGCTATTGGTGTTTGCCATCTTTTCCAGGAAGTCACGAGGATTTAAAATGGCTCCAGCCTTTTTTATCAAGTATAGCTCAGAACCTTGGGCCTGAAGTCTGTGGATATAAAGGCCAGTGTTAACATAGCCAAATTGATTCTGCTGTCACAAGCCACTTTAAGACTCTGAGGCATTCTTTGTAACTTCCATCTTTACAGAATTGACATTCTAAGATCAGAGAGTACTATAATGGAAATGCTCTTTATAAAGCTTTAGGCGGAAGAGAGCACCTCCCACACCCATCCCTTCCTCCTTGGGAGGAGGTGGGGATTTCCAGCATGCCAACAACTCTTCACAAATTCACTTTCTCCACACTTTGGCCTAATTTATTATCTTTGATTTGCTTGAGGAGTTCAAGAATTATTGCTGCGACATTTTCTTAGTGAATTTTTGCATGTGAGCATCTGCTTCACATTCATTTCCAAATTCGATGCGCATCATATTGTTTTGCCTCAGTTGAAATCAAAGAAGGACTTGTATTTAATGACCTGTTACATGTTCATTGGCCAGGTGTGTCTAGTCTATATCCTCAAAAGCCAGGGATAAGAATAGTCATGTGAAAGAGAAATTGAGATAAAGTAGTTGGTATCCTCCCATTTGATTATGACCAACCCTCAGAAAGATTAATAATTTCTGATTAGTTAGAAAACTGGCTTAGTTTGCCAAATGAATCTCATAAATTTTAGATTACTACAGCTAGGAAAAAGCTGTTTGCAATAACTACCATAAAAAATAAAACTCTAGTGAGAAATATTGAGCCCTCCTGTAGGAACAGTTTCCCATGGATTGAGTCAGGAGAATTGAATTTTGTGAGGTCTCCAGCTTCATGTACCAAATGACAGTAGAGTATACTGGGCCTGTCCTAATTCATGAGGCTGCGAAAATGCTTGATAATTTTTCATCTTTAATTAGCCTTCTGTACTCGGTCATCATACCTCATATTAAATGAACCGTGTGAGTTAAAGTATTTCTGTGCTATCTGGACATTTATATTAGTATATCAGATCTTACTAGCCTTGTAGGATTTATAGTTAGAACATTTGAGGCATTAAGAAAGTGATTATGTTTTATAAAGTTAATTCTTTTTAGTCTCTGTAATATGGTAAAATAAAATATTGCTCTGCTTCTACAAAGTATACAGGTTTTTGTACTGTAGATTGCAGCTCTATATCTTGTATTGTTTAAAGGTGAATATTATTAAAATGTGAACTATAGTTTTTTGTACTTATGTCAATGTTTACCATATTTGCTTATTGAGAAGTTATTCAGTTTTTTAAAATATTTTTCTAATTTACTTAGATTTAGTGATTTTTCTTTTTCAGAAAAATGCAATTCAGTACTTGGTTTGGAATAGAATTGGAATCTGGGGGCTTTAAGGAATCAAAGAAACATACACTACATTTACAAAAAGAGACCCTTAGAAGATGGTTGAACCACCGGATGGAAGGTTCCTGGGTCCCTAAATGCCTGTGTGAACCAGATAAGCATCATATACTACCGGCAGCCTGCCATTGACCACATAGAAAGTTAGGGCAATTATAGGGCTCACTTGATGCATTTTGTCTCTCAAGGATCATATGATGGCACTGATTATTGTCCAATGTCTGAAAAAACTGTATGTATTTGTCTAATCTTATGGTAGTATTACAGGAGGGCTATTCTGGTACTAGTTATTTCATCATAGCCAAAAGCAAAAAAGTCTCAGTTCATTCAGTCTTAAAACATTACATTCTTAACTTTTTCCTCATATTAGGTTCCTTCACCCACAATGGCCTTTAGTTATTCTTTATCAATGCTGCTTATGTTTACTCAGTCATTTCTGTGATCGTTACGACCATCCTGAGATCATCATTCCCTCATACTTCTATGACTATGTCTTTTTAACCAGTCTTCCACATTTGATATACTACTAAAGTCATTTACAGATTTTTTAAATGATTACTCAATCTGCATATTTAGTAAGAAAGTTTATTTCTTCCTCAACTTATGCCTCAATGAACTTAAGATATATCTCCTGCTATGCCCCTAAATATACACCATAAATTATCCATATGTGTTGTTTCTCAACTATGTTTTGTATTATCTCTTTTACATAGAATGCTTTGATTCTTCAAAAAATTTTTTTTCAGCAAATACTTAGGTGTCTAATGTGGGCCAGACACCATTTTTGTTTATAGGAATATAGGATGAACAATTTAGGGCCGATCATATGATGAGATTTATAATTAAGTACAAGAGATAAATATTTAAGAAAAATCCATATCAATCATGCTTGTGTTAGCAGCTACAGCAAATACTGTGTGTCTTACATGTTTTTTGCTATGCAGCTCTTTTCTAGATCTTGGGCTGCATTTTTTGAGGGAATTAGAGTCCTTAAGCAGAGGTATAAATTAGCTGGACAAAATGGACAAAATGAAGGTGGGAGGGGGGAGCTTTCTAGGCAGAAGGCACAGTTCGAGAGAAAAAGCCCCAAGGAATAAAGAAATAGTATTCTTGGGGAGCTGAAAACACTCAGTGAGCCTAGAGTATAATGACGAGTGAGTGGTGAGTCATGGGACTGGTGAATTCCTATAAGGTCAGATAACTCAGGTCCTGTAGGTAATAATCATACCTTACATTTTATCCTAACAGTAAAGAGAAGCCCTGCAGGTCACTTCTACACTGTCATCTCCTTGCTAGCAGGCATGAGGACTTAACACCTGTCTTCAGTCTTCCACCAGTTACTACTGGAAGCGGCAGGTTGCAGTAAAGACAGAGGTGCCACTCAGGGGCAGGTAAATTGATTTATTGGGCAGAGAAGCAGCTGTTGTTTTGGGACGTGGTGGTCCGGTACTGTGGCTCAGATTTGCCAAGGCGTTAATCTTTTCCACACCTCTTCTCACTACTTGGAAGCTCAGTTTTGTTTACTCCATTATTTTTTAGACTATATTACACTGTATTCGTCCTCATAAAAATGTAGTTTGGGTTGGAGTTGTAGTTTGTGTTGCAGGTACCATGAGAATAGAGTCAGCATTTACCTCTAGGACATTTTATTTTAGGAGCTAGTTAGGACTTGCTGGAGTACAGGAACTCTCCTGGTACAACGAAGCTTGAAAGGGGCCATAAATTCTGCTCTTGTTGCTCTTGTCCTTGTTATTGATAGAATGCAAGAATCTGTGGAGATAAACACAACAATGCGTGCATGTGAGACTGTTACTCATCGTCATTCTTACCTACTCAGAGTAGGCACACAAACGTATTTCCTGTCTCACAAAGTTGTTTTAAGCAAGAAAATAACATATTAAAATGATACTTTAGTACAATTTTCCTTACTAAATCTTGGGGGAAAATTTTGCACTGGTGCAAGGCAAGAATGGAAGATGGAAGGGAAGTGAAGATGCTTGACGATTGGCTTGAGAGGTCTGTAACTTTGGATAGGATGGTTGCTGTGAGAAGAGCTATAAAAATGGTCATTTAAATTGTTTCATTTCTTTCCATTAGTCAGTTTTGTAAAGGGTGACGTTTTTCTGATCTCCATTAATATATACCTGCTTTGTGTTTCAGTGGCATAATTATTTCACTTCTTAGGTAGAATTTCCTTATGGAAAGACTATACAGTACTTACTAATCTGATAGATTATTTAAGACAATGACTACATTGATTTTTTTTTTTTAAACTCAAAAATAGTAGTTTGTGTTTCAGATATTCTTCAAGGTGCTGTGGAGATACATGCCAAATAATCAGACAAGGTTCTGCCTTTATAGGGTTTTTTAATTCCCATAAAGATGCATATACATGTATGCATATATATAATGCCAGTCACAAGTGTCATGAGTTCCATATAAAAGAATGTCCATTGTACTGAAAGCGAAAACAAGGCAGGCTTGACCTGTGATATGGAAGAAATATATTTAAACATTAAAAGCGGGGGGAAGACACTTCAGGGAGAAAAATACATTGATCTTTTGACAGGAGGAATTAGATGCATCTTAACAATAGAAAGATGGTCAACATAGTTGGAACTCAGAGATGAAAGGTGAAACGAACAGTAGGCAAAGATCCAGCAATTAAGAACCTTATAGGCCGGGCGCGGTGGCTCAAGCCTGTAATCCCAGCACTTTGGGAGGCCGAGGCGGGTGGATCACGAGGTCAAGAGATCGAGACCATCCTGGTCAACATGGTGAAACCCCGTCTCTACTAAAAATACAAAAAATTAGCTGGGCATGGTGGCGCGTGCCTGTAATCCCAGCGACTCAGGAGCCTGAGGCAGGAGAATTGCCTGAACCCGGGAGGCGGAGGTTGCAGTGAGCCGAGATCGTGCCATTGCACTCTAGCTTGGGTAACAAGAGTGAAACTCCGTCTCAAAAAAAAAAAAACAAGAACCTTATAGGTCATGTTAAGATTTTAGCCTTTATCTTATTAGCATATAGCATGTATCTAATAAGGATTTACTTAAAGAACAAATCTGGGTATCTCAGGAAACAATTAGGACAGAAGTAGCAGTCAGTGAAAAGACCAACTAGCTGAGATTTACAGAATGAGATCTGAGTGAATTATAAATGAGATGTTCATGGTGTAAGATGGTAAGAAGGTAGGCAGTGGTTTCAGTGTGGGACTTGCTGAAGTGGTAGGTGAATCATCTTCTGGTGGAAAGAAAAGCTAGAAAGACTGGGCAAGAGATGGTTCTTCTGCTTGAAAATGAAGCAGAGATTTGTAATCAGAAATATGAATATTGTCAAGAAGCTTTAAGCATGCTAAACATAAATGCATATTCGTGCTTGCCAGTTGCAATAGTGAAGGATATTTGCAGGAACCAACTCAATGCCTGGCTTTTCTCTATAGTTATTTTCTGCCTTACGACTATGAGTGTTGGGAGTCCCCAAAACTAGTCCCTGACTTAGTGATTTTCTGGGAGGATTCACAGAACTCAGCATGCAGCCATAATTATGGATATGATCATTTACAGTAAAAAGGTTCAAAGCTAAATCATCAAAGGGAAAAGGTATGAGGCAAAGTCCCAAGTAAATAAGGTGTAAGCTTCTAAAGAGTCCCACTCCAGTAGAATAACGGAATACATTTAATTATCCAGAAACGAGTTTTGATGACACATGTAAAATACTGTCTACGGGGCAGCTCATAAGAGAGTCAGTGCCCAAAGTTTTTATTGGGAGCTGATGATTATGTACCCTTTCCTATCCTGTACCAACTTGCCAAACTCCAGGTGTTCAGCATAAGCATTGCTTTAACAGAGTTCAGGCCCGGTCAGTGACTCATCAGTTTTAGGAAGGGGAAGAAACTTTATTCATGTAATCCTAGTTTCCACATGCCATGGACCAACCTTGCAACCAGGCCTTTGTAAGGATATATTAAGTCTTTTATGTACAGCGCCAAGAACAGAACTTGTAGAATGTTCTTGACTTCCTGGTTCTTTGTGCGATTACATTTTATGTGCTAAGTTCTGTAGCAACCTATCGATGTATTGATGATGCTGTCATTTATACACGAATGCCACAGACTCTTGACTTTTCTACTTTTGGGTGATCAAATTTCTTCACTCTTTTTCAAACAATACTCTTGCAACACCACATGTTTGGCTGAGCTGGGTATTGTGAAATTTAATCTCATGCTCCTTTCTTCTAATCTTTTCTCTAGTCACGATGAATTGATCTCATGTCATATCTAAGTTACTTTGAAGGTTAATGGAAAAAACATCTTTCACTTTGAAATGTCTTTTTGTATTAGTTTGTAATTTACATTCCTAACAACTCACAAAGATACCTAGGGTCTGCAGAATTTCTGATTGGAGTGCAAAGATGATATTCATGGGAATTTTAAAATTTAACAAAATCCCATAAAGATTTAATAATAATTATAGTGTGGAAATATGTTATCCAATTATGGTTTACCTTGTGGAAAAATGTATGTAGATGCTTTTACTGAACTAATGGTGCATTTATTGGTTACAAGGTTCACATTAATAGAAATTGCTAAGAAGGTTATAGTGATCAGAACTGTGTTGCACCAAATTGTTGTTGAGCTGTGATCTTGCTGTGTTGCAACACAATATAGTTTGTATGTTGTTCTGTTCAGTATTACTCTATAGTAAATACCAAGGAGTTTTTACTTTTCTTCTAGTAATTGTTCTAATTTTCTAATTACTTTTTATTCAAAAAGTGTTCTATGAACCAGTAACAGTGGGGTTACCTGAGAGTTTGTTAGATGTGCGGTATCCCAGGCCCACTCCCAGACTTACTGAATAAAACTCTATCGTTTCCTCAATGTGCCTTAGCCTCTAGCCATTGCCTCAATTTAGATCCACTTTTCTTGGTACTCCAGACAACTGTCTAAAGGATGCATTTAGCAAATTGTCATCAACCCCAACACTGATGCCCCTAAAAGAAAATCTCTTGCCTTTACATTGTCAATGCTGTTTCTAGGGAAGTGGTCACTACGCTAGGTCACGGTTTAAGCTGGAGTCTTAAACCTTTCTCTTTGTCTTAGTAATTCCTAGATAATTCCTTCCCTATTTTTCACTGGTAGCTACTTGTTCCCAGATTCTGGACAGAATGAAGATGTCCCACAGCCTTAGGCAATTTAATGATTCTTTTGGCTCTGATTAAAGGGTATCTCATGGTCAGGAAGAGTTTCTTTTTCTCACTCTTAGTTCCACAAATAGGCAACCTGCTGCCTTCTCTGGTTCACTTTATATTTGGCTCTTCTCCTCTCTTAGTAGATTCAACCTAAGTACTTACACTTCTCACTTAAAAGTTTTAGTGGATCACATATCCTAGGGAAATATCCCACAATTAAAAAATTTGGTTACATAGACTCATTACCTTTCCAATTAAAATTCAAGTTACTATAAGAAAACTTCTCAAATGGAAATCAAATTTCATACAAATTATAATTTAAACACTTTGAATTTTATTATTAAAAGTTCTCTAGAAAGAGGTTAATAAACATTGGAGCTTGACCTACATATTGAGCAAATTTACTTATTAAAATGGAGTTCATAAGTATTGAGCTAATTTATACCAAAGGGAAATATTCTGTTTAGTTATTTGAATTCTATTTCTAAGGCAAATAGTTTTACAGTTTCCTAAGACTAGGTGAATATGCAAAGTGATGGAATTATACCAACTGTAAGAATGAAAAGGCCTGATTTTTTTTTAACACTATGAAGTGACACTGTTCTCTAAATGGGTACTTTTTGTTATTTCTTTCCTTAAAGCACTGTTTTCATTAGTCAGAGTAAACTGTATCTACTCAGTGTAATTTTGCTGAAGTCAACAGTCCTAATCCAAGACTTACTATTTTCAATTTATTACATGTGTTTGGTGAAATTGAACAAAATGTGTTGATTTTATTCTGGATTTTATCTTGAGAGTTCTCTATGAGAACAAGAAACTTTATTAAAGGTAATTCAGTTCATCTAGGGTTTATAAAAATAATTACAAACTTTGAAACAGTGATTTGAATGCCTTAGTATGACCATTTGTACTCTTCCTTGCCATTGTAAACCATTCCAAAGTTTATGCTATAAATTCATATTTACAAGACAATGAAGCCATTAGATGTAACAAATGCATGTCTAAAAGGGGGAACAAAAAGTTCTTTTTTTTTTAAAGTCCCCTTGGGGTCTAATTTTGTTGGAGTGCTCCATTAAGCCTGTCTGAAACCTCCCATCAAATAACAAAATCCCTCCCATAGATGGAAGATTACTAGGAATTGCTACAAACTCTAATGCCTTCAGGGTGTGGAAGTTCTCTAGATCAGATACAGACTCTGAGTGTAGCATGCATGTGACAGGTGGCATGCCTAATTATGATCAGGACATGCCTAAAGTTGTGGCTTTCTAAAAGTATTTATAGTTCATACATTCTTCATAGTCTACCATTCAGAGATCATTTTGACTACTAAAGTTGCTTGATAACAAAGTTATTTTATTTTTATCAGTTTTTCAGGAAAATTGAGCCATTTTCCTGTTCAATTTTAAATTTTAAGGAACTCATATTTGTGGCCATTTTTGCATAGCACTGGCCTGGGAAGTCTTCATGGTTAGTAGGACTGACCACAAAAGGGTGCTTTTTTTTTTTTTTTTTTTTTTTTCTCTCCCCGAATGGAGTCTTGCTCTGTTGCCTAGGCTGGAGTACAGTGGCGCCATCTCAGCTAACTGCAGCCTCCGCCTGCTGGGTCCTGGTTCAAGCAATTCTCCTACCTCAGTCTCCCAAGTAGCTGAGATTACAGGCACGAGCCACCATGCCCAGCTAACTTTTGTATTTTTTAGTAGAGATGGGGTTTCACCATGTTACCCAGTCTGGCCTTGAATTCCTGACCTCCTGATCCACCCGCCTAGGTCTCTGAAAGTGCTAGGATTACAGGCGTGAGCCACTGTACCTGGCTAGGGTGATATATTTTTTTTTAACCCTTTACCCATAGAGCCTAATCAAAAGTAACCTTGCAGGCAATAAAACAGTAATTGCTATAGTGCTAGAACCTTTTCTTTGTAAGTATTATAAATAATACCCTCTAATAATCTGGTGGTAAGCAGGAGATCTGAAAGCTCCTGTTGATATCAGAAGTTACCATGTGGCCCAATAAGCAGACAATACAAGTCACAGAAGGAAGAGATTGAAAGGTTCAGAACCTTGGACAGAAACGTCACTTCTAACCACACGGACTAGATGTATTTATTAATCCCTCAGTGAGGAGGGATTTCCTTTGTGATTAAGCACGACTGCTTCTGAATTGTACATAGTAAAATTAATTGCCTCTGTGCCGAAGTTAATTGTTAGAAATGTAACATTGGTAATGAGTACGTATGTAAATAGAGGCAGCAACTTTTCTTGAGTATGAGCCCTGGAGTCAGACCGCCTGGCCTTGCCATGCCCTAGGTATGTGACTTCAGGGAAGTGATGTTTACCTCTTAGTCCTCAGTTTTCAATCTGTAGCATAAAGATAACAAATGTTTATTTTCATAGGGCTGGGTAAAAATTAAATCAGCTAATCTAAGTAAAGCTCTTAATAAAGTGCCTAGAACAGTGTAAAAAACCATTAAGCAAATGAAAGTTAATAATCGACAAATGTAGTTCATTCATTATAATATTTAAA